GGGGTTAGGTTTAGGGTTAGGTTTGGGGGGGTTAGGTTTAGGTTTACGCGTTAATTTTAGCTTTACCGCTCACAGTGTGCTTTTTTTGTCGCGCTGTGATGACGTCAGATACGCGGTTTTGTCGAGCGCGCTTTAGTCGACCGCGGTTTTGTGGTGGAACCAATTCTAATTCCCTTCCCTTCCATCCCCTTCCATTCCATTCCCTCCCAATTCCAATTCTATTAATTCTAATTCTCTTCCCTCCCCTTCCATTCCATTCCTTTCCAATTCCAATTCTATTAATTCTAATTCCATTCCATTCCAATTCCAATTCCAATTCTATTAATTCTAATTCTCTTCCCTTCCCTCCCCTTCCAATTCTCTTCCCTCCCCCTGCCCCTTCCCTTCTAATTCTATTAATTCTAATTCCATTCCCATTCTATTCTAATTCTATTAATTTTAATTCACTTCCCTTCTCTCTATCTCTCTCTATCTCTCCATCCTCTCCATATCTACCATCTCTCCATCTCTATCTTATCTGATGGCTTTTTGCTTGCTGCTAATTTCCTGGCTGCAGATCCCCATTGCGGTCAGCGGCATCCGAGGAATGGGCTTCCTTATGAAGCATCACATAGAAGCCAACGACGGGAACCTGCCCCCGAAGCTCTCCAATCTCTTCATCAAGGTAAGGCTCCAGGCTCCTGGCCAGCAACCCGAAAGGGCTGGCTTGAATGGGACAACTGCCCTTCAGGCGTTTCCGCAGAATAATCGACAGCAGGGGTCCCCAACCTGTGGGCCACGGCCCGCTACTGATCCGTGGCCTATTCTTCACCTTACAGCCCCAATGGACCCCAGAATTTCTGTTTGCCGATTCAGAACAGAATCCCCTCTATCTCAAATGCCCCCCTCCCTGTCCCTCAGCTCCAACGTGGCAACACCGAAGCGGTCAAAATGGCTTTGGTCAGTTCAGTTTCAGGATTGACACAAAGACTTACCTTACCTAAAAAAGAGGGCGAAAATCTGGGCGCATCTTATACACTGAATGCAGCATTTTTGGCCTCCCGAAACTCCTTAAATTTAAATTTTATTAAACATTTATAGGCCACCCTTTTCCCTGAGGGGACTCAGGGCGGCTTACAATAATAGGGGAGGGGAGTGCAGGACAAAACACACACACACAAAAAAAAAAGTGAGTAAAAATAATTAGCGGTAAAACACAACATTCATTCAACATTCGGGAGGGGCGAGAGTAAAGTCTTAT